GGGCAGGGACGACAGCGGCAAGGATGTAAAAGGTAAATGTGAGGTATGATTCTGAGATAATAAGTTTGTTTGGAATCATCGGCATCAACGTTTGGAATCTTTGGCTTATTTTTCACCATAGATTTGACCATGGTTCCTGTGATGGATGGATAACTCCGACGGATTCGGTTTGTGTCCCTGGTTCCTTCCTTATGATTCCAACGAAACCGGCAATGGCTGAATTCAAAATTTCTGGGTTCTTGTTTTCTTATTTGCCCCCATCGAATTTGTTGTGTCACTAGCCAAAGCACCAGATTTCACAATGATCTCGGAAATTGTTTTCGTTGGTCAATATCACCTGATGCTCATCTACTCCAGTTTTCCTTATGTTTCCGCTCTCCAATGGTTTTTGTTTTTTTTTTATCTGTGGCTATTGTTGCAGCACTGATATTGTTTGGATGGATCGATGTGTTTATAGGTGTAGCCAGTTGTTGAAATATGTTGTATGGACACTTTTTTAAAACTTGTTTCTTTTATAATATTATCAGTTGACCAACAACAAAGATAATTGAAGTTTGCAACAAAAATGTATTAAAGTTTCTGAAAGTTGAAATTTGTGTTGTATATATGTACATCAAAAATATAATTATGTATGTGTACACAAACAAATAATTGTACTTAACATTGACATCTAACAAGGACAATGTTAGCAACACAAAATCAAACATTTACGGTATGAAGTATTTAAATAATCCCCATTTACGAATACATGTGAACCCTTTCATTCACATAAAACCATCCATCCTTGTCCTTCTACAAAAGCAATTTATACAATTCACATGTACGGTGTACAATGATATTATGTATGCATTGTCGTAGTCATCTCAATATATTCTCATACAAAAAAAATTCATGTACATAAATGTATGGAGTATTGCAATTTTGTAACAAATCCAAATATGTTACTTCGGTATCTCTTGACCTAGGTTTGATATGTGTTTTCTCAGTTTGTCTTAATTTTAATATAAGTTTTAATGAGTGTAAATTTTATAATAAAATTGTCATCTTCATATGAGGGTTTCCCATGATTTATGAGCTAATCATGATTAAATGTAAACAATACCAATAAAATTCGTATAGTCTGGTGGAATAGATGCAGCTTTCAGGCATGTAGATCTCGAGTTCAATACTCATAAAATTCATTTTTTCTTATATTCCAAAAAAATAATTAGTGGTTTTTTTGTTATTAAAAGTTCCGTCTACCTCAAAAAATCACTAAGGGTCTGGAACTTTACAACACAGCCACCGTAGATAATTTTCAGTTAATTGTATTTTTGCGTTTAGACAGAGATTAACACTTCGAACTTGTAGAACTATTATATACTAATGATTTTAACCTTCAGAATAAGAAAAAACTAAGATTTTACACTGTGTCTAATTTACCGATTGACACTAAATCAAGACATTGATCAACCAACGAGCATTTAACTACTGCAAATCGGACGCACCGTCATATGTCGGATTCTTAAGCTTCGTCGTAAGCCAACATCTCATCTCAACAATCTCTTTTGGGTTTCGTCAAAAATATAAGAAAAATCGTCAAATAAAATTTGTGGGTTAAATTAAAATACAAATATGGATTGATGTTTTCTTAAGTTTTAAGATTTAAATATGTTTGAAAATGAATTAAGCAACTGGGTAAAACAAAAATACAATTACGTTTATTGAAAATGAGGGTAATTGTATAAACAACCAACAAGAAACTACCTTAATAGTTGTAATTGTCTAAAAGTGTAATAAAAACTTAAAACTGTTTATGGATGTAAATGACTCATCTATGAACTAAAGCATTCTTGTGGCGGTTAGTGTCTCGAGAATTTGCAGCTAAATTTAGAGTCAGACATCGTTACGTAAAGGTTGACCCACTATGTGCATATTGCTGTGACAATAAAGAGATATCAAAGAACTTCCCACATTGGAAATAAAAAATTAGGGGGGTGTATTGAATCAATGATTTTACGAGACTTTGAGTTTTTATTAAAATATTCTGTTATTCAACTAAAAAAGTTAAAAAAAATTTCTAAAATCCAGTGTTATTGAATATGAAATTTATGTAAAGTCACTTGAAATCATTAAAAATCCTCTGTTATTCAAACAACAATTATTGAAAATGTTTTAAGTGTTGGGATTTTAATGACTGCAGAAGATTTAAAGGGATTTCTTAGTTAAAAATACCAAGATCTAAATCTCATGCTTTTAGATGGAATTTAAGAGGATTTTAATACAAAATTATAACAATTACTTTAAAATCATCCAAAACAATCAAAATCATCTAAATTCTTATTAAAACTCAAATCACTATAAATGTCTAGTTTAATACACCCCCCTAAGTGTCTAATATATAAACTCTAACTAGTACGAGACTTTTTGGACAAAAGTAAATCCATGCAGATTTGTTTCTTAGACCCAAAGTGAATATTATCGTACTAATCAGATAATAAAGAGTTGGACATGAACTTTCATAAATCCAACAATCTGATCATACTTTATTCATTTGTCACTATGCACAATTAGTTTGGATGATAACAACTATACTAACTGATTGAATTTGTAATTTGTATACTCTGATGGAAAATAAAATAAGGTATCATCTAAAAATCTTTGAAGAAAAAATGTTCCTAAACATTACCTGACTACTTTCCATTTGGATTTTTTTGGTGTATCTGAAAAAGCAGAAAGGAGCTCATATCATCTTCAAAGGTAATTATATAGGAAATGACGTACCATAGACTAATAGAGGATGGGAAACAATGATCGGGTGAAGAGAATAATGAGCAGAGTAATACATTATCCTCAACTAATAGTTTTTCTTGTAGAAGATGGGCACCACTTGAGAATGATTGGTTAAAATGTAGTTTTGATTTGTCACATTACTCAGTAAATAGAGATTATAGAATGGGATGAACAGTGCAAAAAGTAATGGAATTGTTGGATGGGATGACTTGAAGGAGACAAACACTGAAAGAGGCTTAGTGTAACATTCTGGTTTGTAATATGTAGTAAGTATATGTTGCAAAAAAAAATGAATCGATTTGGTTTTGTCACTAAATTTTACTTATCTTTTCTATCAAATATCCAAAAATTATTTAAAGCGTTTGAGATACATTACTCAAATAATGAGTGACATATCAAAAGTGATATTATCAGGCATGA